GGATTTTGTTAGGGTTTATATTTTCAAATCGAGGTTCTTAATTTCCAGCTTCAGCTTCAGCTTCATGCGTGTAAAAATTTTAATAACGATTTATTTGAAAATTAGCAAATTTGGAAACACGAATTTAAACTCATTATTAGGAGCACAACTTAATTTGTAATATTTTATTTTTTCAATATACCTTCTCTAGTCTTACTTAATTAGAAGTCTTACTTCTCTAAAGAGTTACCCGATTTAATTTTACTTTTATGCAGTCAATGCAACTTTTAGGGACCAGATAACATGCGTTTAGGAACCAACAAAAAAATAGCAATTATAGAGATCGAAATATATATTTGAGCCAGGGTTCAAAGTTGCATTTAGAGAGGTGTATTTAAAGAGGTTGCTCTTATGGAGACTCCACTGTACTTCTATACTTTTTATCGTTACCTTCAGTTAGGGAAATCTTTTATAATTTATGATTAGTAATTTTATAAATCGGTTCTCAGCTAATCTATTAAATCTTTAAAAATAATACAGTCTCCTATAACTGTGACCAATTCACTGGGAACTTAAACGTCTTTTTCCATCTCGTAATTTTGCACCTACTGAATTCAGGAAAAAAAAAATGTCAATTGAATTTAATTAGAAAATCAAATATCTGGTCGCAACAATAACTTACCTGATTGGAAGAAATGTTGAAGGCTTAGAGATGCTACAAAATCTTTGTTCAATTATAACGTCAAATGTAATGATATCCTTGAACTGAGGAGGAGCTGACCACAAGGCTTTTGTAGGTAAAGGTGCGTTGTACTTAGCTTGATCATGCAATTGTTTTGTTTTTCCTATTCGACCAAGGAAAATGTCCTTAGGATTATTATATTCACCACCTTCGAGACCTGCGGTTTTCAAATTCCACATCCAGGATACATAATTCCTACCAGGATTTACAGATAGGATAAAAGGAGGTCTACTAACTTTTCTGGTCTTTTCGTGTGACAAAGATGCACTAATCGAAGAGGGTTCAAAAGTTATAGATCGGCAATCTCGTGCTTCTATTTCAGTTGATGCATTTAAAAAAGGGTCCGTAGTGGGATCAACCTCTTCTAGTATAAGTTTATCACAATTATTTGGCATAATATGTACCATCCAAGAATCACGATACAAAGCTTCACCTTCATGGTTGAGATCACTTCCATCAAAACCATTCAGATGTAGACCATATCCTGCCTTTTTTTCAAATTCGATTCCTAGCAAGGTACGAGTATCTTCGCGGATACAGGTGGCTTTCAGAGAAAAAACCAATTCTGCAGAATGAATATAATTGCAAGTGCAATTTCTTCCATGTAACATTCCATTTTTTAGTTCGTCATCAGTGAATTTTGCATGGAAGAAATAAGTGTAATCTTTGGGTAAACATGTAATCGTGGAGCCACTACGAATTTGATAATCAGATAAAGTGCGATGATTCTCCAAAACTTGTCCATTAAACATTAACTGTTGTTTATCATAATGAATCCCTTTTTTATTATATATTTTACGTTTAACTTTATCAATGGTATCCATCTTTGTGACATCAATGGATATAGTTTTATTAGGCATTTCGACTTTGATCTTTCCACTTCGTCCACGTGCAAGTGTTCTCACCATTATTATAGAACCTTGTTGAATACCATAATCCCATATTTTACGGTCATTCTGAAGTTCTTCTCCATTAAAGACAAGACATTGTTGGTCTGACGGAGTACCTTCCTTATTTTGAATTTTTTCTTTTACTTCCAAAATTGTATTAAATGATTCGACTTCAAGCTCAATTTCGCATATCTGAAATTGTATAGTTACTTGTATATTGATACTTAACTCTATGTTAAGGGTTGACAACGGTTGGATACCATAATCAAGCAAAGTGTAGTCATTATTAAGTTCGATGTCATTAAAAAAAAGACGTGCTGTACTTGTATGAGTGATGTTTTCAATATTTAAAAAATTTTCCTTGATATCTCTTATAGTATTTGATGAATCAACGTATATTAAGACAGTTTTACATAACATAGGCTCACAACTTGTTCTTAAAACATATATGTGACCGCACCATGCATTTAATGCTAAATCTTCTTCAGAAATATCGAATACTTCACAAGAAACTTCATTTTCAGATATGGGTATAGTGTAGTTATTCCTTCCATCGTCCATTTTACGAATTGCAAATCCGATTCGAAAATAAATAAATAAATCCGACTTAATTGTACACAGACCAGAAAATAAAATAGTCTGTGCTGCAAAAAAAAAAAAGGGATATTAGTTTGGTTGCATTTGTAATACAGCATATATGAGAAGACATATATGGGAATAAAGATATGGTAAAAGGCACAAATAATCAATAGAAATAAATGTAAAAAAAATAATGGAGTTATATTTCATTATAGTTGCCACAATTATTTAGGGTGGCGCTCGAGTCATCTTATCAAAAGCGTTAACATCTACGTTGTAATAACTTTCCTTAGTTTATAAGCATTTATATCATTAAGTTAACATACAATCTTCAAAGAACAATTTGAGTACATACATCTAGAAATAACTTGGAAGTTTCTCATTTAGTTCCGTCAACAAAGTATGTTGCCTTCAACGTATCGTAGTTCGGAGTTAGTAAATCAAGCTAACAATGCACGCATACACGGTTCTTTCCAAGATGCATTGCAACTTGCATATGAAGCACTTCCTATTGCTTTTCGTGAATTATATGCAGATTGTTTCCCATCATCAAACTATCCTTCAAGTTGGGACAAGGCCTTTGAAGACTCAAAGAATCCTGTAGTTGCTGCAGCCAGTTGTATTGCTGATTTAGATTTTAGCACGTGCTTAGAAGAATTCATTATTCCTGCAACGCAACGAGTGATGGCTGCACTTAACATCACAGGCAACACATTGAGATCGATGTCCCTTTTTCATGATGCAATATACTGTTTTGATCAAACGATCGCTCTCTGCGGTAAGATTGAACCTGCTTCAAGTCTAATGGTTACAGGAAATGTTTCCTGTGCCGAAAAGTCATTGGAACATTTGGAATTGCTTTTGCATGATAATAAAAAAGTAGGAATAAGTGCATTTGTAGAGGTAGGTAAAGTGTGCAGTAACAAAGCTAGCCTTCTCTTCGATCTTGGTCAGTATGAACAATCACTTGTGTTACATGATCGCCATCTCCGCTTAACGCTGCAACAAATATATCCTGACGATAAACAACAAACCATAGCTCGAAATAACATTGGTAAAACGATGGTATCCCTTTGTAAATCCACTGACAATAGATGTTTGTTAGATGAAACAATAACTTTTATTGAAAAGTCATTAGTGAAACTTGATCAATTACGTTCTGTAGACTTTTCTTTTTTTGAGCGCAGTCGTGGTATCGCACAAGGTCATCTTGGTGAATGTATTCTATTGCTTGCATTATATGAGGATAAAGATAAAGAGCTTTTAGAACGTGCACTGAAGGAATTTGATGAAATGGTTAAGATTACAAGTGGTGAAACAGGACTAAAAAAGGATCCAGGTGGTCTAGGGATTGCACTTTCTGGAAAGAGTAGAGTATTATTACTTTTAGGCAATGATAAAGCAGATACTGCTATAGAATGTGGGCAAAATTCTTATAAAGAAAACATAAGTTGTGGAGCACGTTTTCGTTCTGGTCTTAGTGGGGTTGCCCTAGCAGAAGCTTACCTTGCTCAATGTAACTTTGAATGCGCAGAAAAAGAGCTACGAAATGTGACTGAAATATTTGATACACTTTTGAGAGAACTTCCTGATGACCAACAACGTGTAAGTATATTTGAACAAATGTCTAAAGCATACACACTTCTTCAGTATGCACTATTTCAACAGAATAAAATCGATGAGTCATTAGTTTGGGCAGAACAATCAAGAGCTGTTAGCCTTAAACAATTATTAGGTGATTGCAATGTTATGCCAAAGTTACGTCCTGTAAATTTTAATACAGAGTTTTCTCAAATTCTTGATACAGCAGTTGAAACACAGTCGATTCTTTTAATTTATACATATGTAGAATTGTCACAAA